AAGACATGAAAATATTTGACATTTGGTCTTCTTTGGTTGATGAGCTCATAAGGTGTCTTCTGGTGCCTCTTGTTGATGATTGATCGATTCTGGGTGAAGCAGGCAGTGGAAATAGCTTCAGCCCAGAATGTGATGGGTAACTCCGATGAAGCAAGCATGGTCCTTGCTGTTTCCACGAGGGTTCTGTTCCTTCGTTCCATCACTCCATTCTGTTGTGGAGTTCTCGCTGCTGAAAAGTTTTGTGTAATGCCTTCACTAATGAGGTATTCATTGATTCTGGCATTTTTGAATTCAGTTCCATTGTCGCTTCTAACTTTAATGAGTTTTCGTTGTAGAAGGACTTGGAGCCTTTTCATCACTCCAATGAGTAGGTCAGGAACATCTGTTTTTTTTCTTTACAAACTCAACCCAGGTGTATCTAGAGTATTCATCAACATGGATCAATATGGATCATATCCAAGGGCTTGGTGCAGGTGGTTTCTGACTTTGTTCGGTGAGAGGCCCGTTTTAGCTTTCCCATCTCACAGGATGAGCATAGATGATCTTTTTCAAAGTTGAGATCAGGAATCCCCTTGATCAGCTTCTGTTTGGCTAGCTTTCTTAAGACATCAAAATTCAGGTGTGAGAACTTCTGGTGCCATAGCCAATTTTCATCACTCTTATGAGTTACAAGGCGAAGGGTGTCTTGTCCCTCAAAGGATTGAAAATCCAGAAGATAGAGATTCCCTTCTCTCTTGGCCTTGATAATGGTTTGATCGGGCTTTGTCTCTATGATACAGAAACCTTTGCGGAACCTGACTTCAAGACCCTTGTCGCAGAACTGGCTTATGCTTAGTAAGTTCTGCTTCAAACCTTCAACATAAGCCACTTTGCTGATGGAGATGTTGCCTTTGATGAGAGTTCTGTATCCCTTGATGGTTCCCTTGCTATTGTCTCCAAAAGTGACAGGATCTCAGAAGGTTTTTGTCCATCCCTTCCAAGAAGTTTACCATTCTTATTCTCCATTGTGGGTACTCTTCTCGTTGAAGAGTTGGAGGCTTGGTGAGGGAGCCAACACTATACGCAGAATTCCAGTTGGCCATTGGAGATATGAAAAGAGAGGAATTTACGTTTTTGGTGAAGTTGTTTTCGTGAAAAATGTGAATTGAGAGATTTTGGATGATCGTTTGATTGGAAAAATAATCAATTCGCTCTGATACCAATTGTTGATCCCATATCTCTCAATAACTCTAATAATCAAGTTAAGGATAACTAAATTATAGTGTTTTAATGAACAAAATGATGAACACTCAAGAACAATGTATAAACATTCAAAGAACAATCTTGAGTGCCAATAATTTCACTTTATTCTATATTAATAAGAAATGTAAAAGCGACGTTTAATACAATAGGCATAATCACCTATTTATACTAGTAGGCTAATTAGAAGATAACTATTTGGTGAGACTATTTAGCTAATCTTCTACTAACAGACGGAGTTTATCTAAACTATGGATAAGCTATAAATTAAGATAAACTTSAAATCCAGCTGTCGATTAGTTATCTCCAGCTGTCTTCCATGGGATGATGATTCAACCTTATCTTTATATCTTCATCGTATGCCTCTGGTTGAATTGTTGAAGAAAACTCTAAGTATTGTTGACCAGAGGGGTGATGAAGATGCTCTTTCCATCGCATCTTTGGTCGATTCATCGACCCTCTGGTTGTTCTTCAGACTTGGTCAATTTTTCCTTAACGACTTCATCGGTCTTCTGGTTCTTCATCACTTATTGTTCTTCATTACTTTTACACTTATGAATTATGGGGTCCAACATAGATTCTTGTACTGTGGGACCTAAGTGGTGTATAAACATGTATTTCTTTCGTATGAAGTATATGTTACCTGCAATGTGTGATATGGGGTGTTACATACTTTAGAGTATATTTTAAAAAGTTCTCTTCCGTAAATGCTACCAGTTAACTCGGGCACGTTCCCGGGCCGTGGTAATTGTGGATAGCCGCTATTGTGTTGACAGTCTCACCCAAAAACGGGTGCACATTACCTATGTTTAATAGTCTACTCATGTGTGTGAACGGGCCACCGCTGAAGTAGTACTGATACGAACCGTGGTACCTAAGTGAGCGNAGGTAAGGCTCAGTAGCGTCTCAAGTTTTAAACATCGTTAGAAATTTACATTTTTCTTGTGCAAGTTTATGTATTAGTTTGCAAGAAGTGATTTATGCATTGTAAATATTTTGTGCATATGAAAACCCGTGAACTCACCAACTCTTTGTAGTTGACGTCGTTTTATTTTTCATGCTTTTCAGAAAAATAAGTAAGAATGGAAGTTTTGGAAGCACTTTTGTGATAACACCTGTTCACAAGTTTTAGAAACCTCTTTTTGTAAATGATGTTGTCTTCATCGAGAACAGTTTGGTTATGGACTTGTAAACTTCTGGATTATGTACTTTAATGGTGTTATCTATTAATTGGTGCTATGATATGCTTACTTGTTACACCTCGTGTTTCCGCTTTAGCGGGGTGTGACAGATTTGGTCAAGTCTTGGCCGATTTACCAAATCCGGACAACACATCGTCCAAAGCCTGTCCGATTTAACACTTAAGAGAATTTCAATACTTTTGTCTGGATAACAAATCCGGACAACACATCGCCCAAGGCTTGTCCGATTTAAAATAATCCGGCCAACACATGGTCGTATTCATACTTCTCCGTTCAAAATATTTAACAAACTCAATATTTATAAATCGCTCAACTCTTGTCCGGTTTAAGATTAAATCGCTTGACTCTTGACCGGTTTAAGACTAAGTCGCTTGACTCTTGACTGGTTTAAGTCTAATCCGGACAACACTCATCAAGCGGTTTATTTATAAATCGTTCATGCCTTATCCGGTTTAGGGCTTAAATCGCCCAGCCCTTGTCCGGTTTATGGCTAAACCGTCTGACTCTTGGCCGGTTTAAGCCTATTCCGAACAACAGTTCAAAGGTTAAACTTTTAAATCAAGAATAGAGTTCTACAATCAATTATTCAGTTATGAATAGTCTAAAGCAGTTTAAACCACTCACCTTTTTGAAACCAATCTTCTTGTAATTCAAAATAAGAAAATCTGGTCAACCACTCTCTTTAAATCGCTCAAACTTATTTCAAAGATGGCAAGAGATGTAATGGAGGTCAAACCCTTCTTTTATACCTTTCTAAAACTAGAGAGGTCAGCCAACACAGCCTCCTCCCCACATGCGTACACTCACCTCTCTCACACACACATACACATATATACACACTCATGCACACATCCACATACATGCTTGCATAGCACACATATATATATACAAACATGTGCATCAACATATACACATAATCTCCTTCATGCATCTACATTATGCACATTTTCATATACTAGCATGATTAAATGTATTAATTTATCATGCTATCACATAATCATATATAACAAATAATCACATATTCATTACCTCAGGTGACAACCAAGATCTGATTATCACATCTGGGCATAAGCCAATTTTCCCTTTCTCAATAACACCATTACTATTATTTCCAATAAGAGCAACATTCCAGAGTCTTCAAATCACAAAGAAATAAGAACTCAAAACCATTGCAATCTTAAAGGATATAACAGTAAGAGCTATAATGATAATCACACATACAAATGTCACCCTTATATCCAAAGGTACACTTCCTTGATATGTCACCCTTATATCTGAAGGTACACCTTTCCTTGATATGTCACCCTTATCCTAAGGTACATCTCTCCTTGATATGCCACCCTTATCCCAAGGTGCACCTCTCTTTGATATGTCACTCTTATTTCTTCATTAAAATCTATAGATTATTTCCAATCAAGATAGAGCGAAGTCACAACCGTCCTGAGGGAATATCATCTATAGTTTTAACCAATATTAGTTCCAAACCAGTTTTATACCAAAACATGAAACTCAAGAACCAATAGTTCTTTAATATAATTTTCCAAACTCAAAACTCTTTAATCCTCAAAAATTTGGATATCACCTTCAACTGTTTAAATGACGCAGAATCTTCTTTATGTTTAAAAAAAATTCAAAACCCAAATTCATAAACTCAACTCAATTGTTAAAACAGTTTCCCTTTTTATCTGTAAAATCATCCACTGAAATCCATATATTTCAAATATCAACACATAAGAATTTTAATAACAAAACTCACCTTGTATGCACAGATTTGAAGATTAATCACACAGCAACTACTTCAAATAGTCATAGAATCTTCAAATCACTTTTATGCAGAAATTTCTTTCTCAAGAACACACCCACCGCCACTGCCTTTTTCTTTTAACAAGATAATAGTAAGTATCTCCTTGATCTTATCTCTTGTATATATATATATACTAGTAGTGTACCCGCGCAATGCGGCGCGGGTGAATCACAATTATGAAACATTAGTTTAGTCTTGAATCATGAGTTTGTGTGATTAATTTGCAAGTCAACTAATATATAAAGTTGAAGGTCAATATGGTGTATTAGCAAGATCGAATGAATAAATAATTGTACACCGTACACGTGAATGGAAAAACATGATATTTGGTAACTAAGCTGTTGGTAACTAAGAGCCATTTTCTTAAGTTTGTTCATGGCATAAAACCGAGTGAGGCAAGCAAAGATTGCATAATCAAAAGAGGCTTATCTGGAGCAACACCATCAAGGTTGATCCAATCTACAGCAGTGAGGACAAAAGCTGGAATGAGAAGCAAGAAAATAAGAGGAAACCCGATAAAAAATGATGAAGGGATTAATTCTACTAATTACTACTTCTCTTTGGAAATTGTTATCCGTGAGCGAAACGAAGAAGAGAAACTTAGAAAGAACTTCATGAGCAGTTATCCGCTTTTTTGGGTCGCTAACAAGAATTTTTCTAATAAGTTCTTTAGCACTTTCAAATACATTAGGCCATGGATTTACACTGAAGTCAAGTTTACCATGCAAAACCTCTTCGAATATATCTTCCTCGGAATTTGTAGACAAAGAAAATAGAAAGGTGGATTATTCACAATCAACCAGAGGGGAGATAATATTGCAAAGTTATACTATGTTTTGTCTCACCTACACAAAATGGAGGTACCCCACAAAGAAGAATATAAATGATCACACCAGAACTCCAGTTATCGGCTTCTGGACCATAATTTTTAAGCAAAACTTCTGGTGCAACATAATAAGGGCTTCACACCACATCTGTAAAAACTTGTCCTGCATAATAGATAATAAATTAGCCACGGAAATGCCAAAAATTGATTGTACACAAGATGACAAGAAACAAATATTCATGGATAAAACAAAAGTGTTATACAACAGAGGAAAATGGAACATGTGCTAGAGTGACTAATATTGCACATGTATGTTATAATGTGAAAACCCATTTAGAAAATATTTTCTGAAGATCTAACAAAATTCAAACCAGATTATAGAACAGTCCTACTATGATCAAGATTTGATAAAAATGAGCAAGATAAATTCATAGAAGCATTTATAGTTTCGAGATAAATATATGATTTGAAAAGGTATCTGGCTTAAAAAAATTGAGAACCCAAAATCTATGGTTTTCATAAGTGAATCTTCATTCTTATCGACAAATAGAAAATTCTCAGGTTTAAGGTCCCTATGCATGTGAGAGCTGGATGCATATCGTGAAAACTTACATTGTTTTGATCAGCTTCTTTCATAATTTCTTCCATTTGTGCATTGTCTATTCCTGCAAGATTGTTGGATTTCATTCACGGTTATAACCACTGCCATCTTTGTCAAAATACGAAAAAGCAGCATATAGACTATCTTCGTTATCCACTTTGTTAAAATGCAAGGTTGCAGCTACAAATTCTTCATAGTCGATGGCACCATTTTTGTCGATATCCGCCTATAGTTTTCATGGCGGAAAGATGCATTAACGAACGTGAAAGTAATGCACAATATATACAGAACATGAGAATATATCCTATAACTATAAAGATTTTGGATGGAAGCTCCCATGGAAATTTACCCATTTTTCGGCCTATTGCTGGGAAATTGTCCTTTTTCGCTATCTAAAAGCTTGTTTGTTAGTAGCTTAGAGAGCTTAATCGGACTTGTAGCTTATTTGGTCTGGTGTACAAGACTGTTTCATAGTGGCTTAATGATACAGAAAGTGACTTATTCAGTAAGCTTCTAGATGGAGCTTTATGCATAAAGCCATGTTTTTTTTCATACCTGCCCAACCCAATTAAAAAACATGTTCATTCCATCTATGAAAAAAATCCCTCCCAAACAAAAACTACTTCAATTTATACAGACAAATTAATACAGGACTTGATCGAAAACCAACCAAACAGCCCCTAAGCAAGAACTACGTATTTTATTATAGTAATGTCCACAAATAATTAATCCTAGTTGTTTTTTAACAACAATATTGCTTTATTTTGTTGAAGGGTCTTTTGGACAACTGGTTAGTGGTTGAAAACCTTTCTTAAAATATTTGTCGAGTCGAAAGTTGCAATTTTCATGGGACGGAAGGAATGCTTCATATGCGTTTTTGACGAAATAAAAGTGAATGAAGTTCTAAATGATGGTATCTAAGACGATACTTACCGCTTGCATAAGATCATGAATTTCCGATTCTTCAAGATTAGCACCAAAACTACTAAGTCCATCCTTGAGTTCTTCAAAACTAATGTACCCACTGTTGTCTGTATCTATCATCTTAAACATTTGTTTCAAGCCAGAAATTTCTTCGTTTGAAAGTTTTGTTGCAATAACCTGCAGCCAGAAAAGAAAATAGTTGGTGTGCAAACCCCAAAATCAAATAAAAGAAAACCCCCTATTCAAGCAAATCCCAACTACGAATTATGAACACCTTCTCCTGTACAAACTCCTTCGAATCCACACGAAGATCACATACATAGCCATTTTAATCATTTTTCACCTCCTGTACAAAAAATGTAAGTGATATGGACGCATAAAGAACGAGAAGAGTAAATTTACATGAATAGATGTGATGGACGCATAAACCAAGCCTCCTCCTACTCGGAATGATTTCTGGTTTCATAGCTAATGTTTGCAAGGCAGTTCAGTTGTTCCTATCGGTCAAGTACAATGACCAAAAAGTCAATCACTTTTGTCTAAAATTGAAGCATGATCAAGTAAACCCACATTCGGGTAAACTTCAAACTTCAATCCATCGAATGATCAAGAAACTTCAATCTGGCAAGCACATTCAGAGTGGAGCACAACAAGGCAAATGACACTCTAAAAGGATGTGCATTTATCTGTCATAGCCATAATTTTGAGATTCGTAAGGTAATTATGTTGGTCATGGTTCCAGCATCTTCCTAAATCGAAATGTGGCGCTGGCTGCTATGCTATAAGGGAAATAAGGTTGCGCCTTCACCAAGGCAATTGCTTTTGGTGTAGTGGGTAAGCGCTTGATCCTAACAATTGGTATCAGAGCAGGTCACGGGTTCGAATCCCATGGTGTGCGTAATATGCAAGTAGTGCATAATTATGATAAAGGCATGTTGCGCGGCCATTGACTTCTAACGAAGCTCTTATTAGTACCGGCAGATGTTGGGGGGGATTGTTGGTCACGGTTCCAACATCTTCCTAAATCGAAACGTGGCGCTGGCTGCTACGCTATAAGAGAAATAAGGTTGTGCCTTCACCAAGGAAATTGATTTTGGTGTAGTGGGTAAGCGTTTGATCCTAACAAATTCTAATTAGGCGTTGCACAAAGACAGAGGGACAATTAAGCAACGTCATAAATATAGCACACATAATTGATTCATATTTTTATTCTAATCTAGGATTCAGCCCCTCCCACGACAGGTGTAAACTACCCTTTAAACAAGCCCAAGTTTCATTTCAAAACATTGGTCAATAGCCCCATAGGACAGCTTAAACAACCCCTAAAACAGTCCATTTAGTTGCCTTGCTTTCCAAAACATTTGTAAATAACTCCCTTTCAAGACAGGTGTAAATGACCCTCCAAACATGTCCTAAATGCTTCCCAAAACATCTGTAAAGAGCCCCCTAGGACAGCTCTAAACAAGGCCCAAAACAGTCCCTATAGTTGCTGATTTTTTTATCTACCAAATAGCTTCTTTAGCTGTTGATTTTTAGCCACAAAACCGCCATTTAGTTGCTAATTTTTTCATCCACGGGGAACAGCTTCTTTAGCTGCCGATTTCGCCAGAAAGCAGCCCCGTAGCTACTGATTTTTAGCCAGAAAAAATCCCCTTTAGTTTATGATTTTTACACATAAAACAGTCCCTTTAGCTACCAATTTTGAGCCTACAAAGTCTGTAAACCAAGGTTGCACCTTGCTGCTGTTTAGTGCACTCAAAACAATAACACTCAACATTAAAATCAACTTCTACTCCATCCTAGTCATCTTCAAGAACAAACATTTGCTACATCAAACATTTGGTTGTTGATCTATGATCTAACCAAATCCAAATCCAAATCCAAACCAGACCTTAAACCAAACATTGGTTTTTCATGGCATGTATCTAGGTTCTATGTTAAGACTTAGGCTAAAAAATTTAACTGTCTTCTGCTTAATTTCTCCATCCTCTTCTAGCTCAGTTTCTATAATCAAAGCAAGTAACTTCATAGAGGTTGCATTATAAGCAATGTAAACATTTATTTAGCTTAGGGATAATCAAATAATGGTGAACCACATTACACATATTCGCCAAAAAACACCCTTAATTTAGGATCACTTCTTGTTTCACTACCAATTTATTAACATATTCGCCTGGCATTTCATAAATAAAGTCTTATATGCAACAGACAATTGTACCTTCTTCAAAAGCATTACAGGAGAATGATGAAAGGTCGTGTTTTCTTATCACACGTATCAAGCAAAAGAGTTTCCTAACAAGTTCCAGGAAATTAATGCTAAATTATAGTGGCAATTAAAAAACCTCCATCTCCAGGTAGTGCATATATTTGTATTGTCATTTGTATCTAAAGGAATACAAGCAAAACAAACTCATGGGGAAGATAGTAAGAATAATTCACCTCAGCTACGAATCTCTTCATTTCTTGGCTTGGTGGAAGGCCTAGTTGCTTCTGCCATTGATCAAACTACAACAAGCACGTGTAGAGAAAATAGACTAAATAACACCTTATGTCATATAAAGACACAATCAATTTTAGTTTTCTACAACAGCAGGTGAAGTTTCTTGTTCATGAAACTCTTGTACCAGTTGCTATACAAAAAATCGGTTGCTATAAAAAAACAAACCTATCATACCACATAGGTTAACTGCAATTCAAGTTTAAAAGTGAGAAATCAAAATTCAATAGCATTTAAGTTCAAGAACTAAAAGTGGGAAATCAAACCCTAATTACCTGGACAGAAATTGGAACGGAAGGAGAGTGTGATAGAAAGAAGTCTGCGAAAGAGGGTACCAAAAAGTGAACCAAAATCAATGGAGAGTGATTACCTGGATGAGAGACTGTAAATCGATGGAAACAAAGTAAATTCGATGGAACCGATTGATTACCTGGAGAGTCATAGAATGTTAAATCCCATAACTCATGATGTAAAAAGTAATGAAAAACAACAAGTGATGAAGAACCAGAAGACCAATGAAGACATCAAGGCAGAATCGACTAAGTCTGGAATAATCAATGGATAGTTCAACCAGAGGACCAATGGACAGTCCAAGGATGCGATGGAAAGAGCATCCTCATCGATCCTCTGGTCATCAACACTTAGAAGATTTTCCAGCACTGCATCCAAGCATGCAATAAAGATTTGAAGATAAGGATGAAATAATCATACCATGAATGACAGCTGGAGATGACAAATCAACAGCTGGAATTCGAGTTTATCTTAATGTTAATGTTTATCCATGTGAAAGATAAACCCTATCTGTTAGATAGACGATTTGCTAGAAAGTAGCATTAGATAGTTATATTCTTAATAGCTTATTAGTATAAATAGGTGATCATATATATTGTAAAAATAAGGCTTTTACTCATAGTTTTACGTTTCTGAATTTATAAAGTAAAACCTTTGGAGCTCAAAGTTGTTCTTAAATATTCTTATTTTATTCTTGAGACTTCATAACTTTCTTCATAAAATCACTATAATTTGGTTAGTCATAACTAGATTATTACTGTTATTGAGAGATCTGAGATCAACAATTGGTATCAGAKCCTATKGATTGATTTCCCAATAAAAAACGATCAATTAAAAATCTCTCAATTTTTGATCTTCTTTCTCGTCAAAAATTCTCTTTTTCTTCAACATTTTAAATGGCCAACTGGAATTCTGCCTACAATGTTGGCTTCCTCACAAAGCCCCCAACTCTTCAACGAGAGGAATATCCTCAATGGAAAATCAGAATGGTGAATTTTATGAAAGGAATGGACAGAAATCTCCTGAGATCTATACAGGAGGGCCCCTACATTCCTCAAACTCTAGTCCCAAGAGTTCCTCGAACAAACACCACAGCTGAAATTCCAGCCTACTATATGCCCAAAGATGAAAGGAACTGGGATGAAGATGATAGAGAAAGAGTCGAAACTGACAAAAAKGCCAAAAGATTGATAATCATGGCGCTACCCAATGAAATCTTCCAATCCCTCGATACATGTTCCACAGCCAAGGAACTATGGGATGAACTGGCAAGCCAACTGGAAGGAGGAGCAAAAACAAAGAAAAATCGTAGAGCATAATGCCTCAGCGAATACACAAATTTCGAAGCCCTCCCTTATGAACCAATACAAAAGACTTACGATCGCTTCAACACATTGATAAATCAATGTCGTAGAAATGATATCATTAGAACAAAGAAAGAAAACAACGTTTTATTCCTAAAAAGTCTAGAAGATGAATGGACTCAACTATCTATGTCCCTACAAGCAAACCAGGACCTAGATGGCTGGTCTCTTCATGACCTGTATGGAACACTTGCAGCACAAGAGAGCGACATTATGAAGAAAAAGGTATCCATTGGTGGACCCCTTGCTCTTGCTGCCGATGAAAAAGAAAAATCAAGGACTTCAGCCAAAGAACATAAGAAGAAGAGCAAGAAAGCATTGGTG